CGATGTCTCTTGTTGACTGGAAAATATCCGAACATGCCCCGCAAAGGTGTTTGATTTTTTCGCTAGGGTCCGCAGAAGGGTTTGACAGCGATTCTTCAGTTCCATGTGCTTCTTTCTGTTGGATGCTTGGTAATGTACTGTCATGCTGTTGCAGAGCAGCGGCAACCAATAGCAGCTTCTGCTGTGCAACCGAGTACAGGGCCTGCGATGACCAACTCCAGAAGTAGTTAACCATGCAGCAGCTGGTGAGGGCTGGGAATCTTCTAAAGAGCACTTGCGTCTGCGGGTCGCTAGGACTGCAGTAGACGCAAATGCGGAGTCGCTGGCGGCACTCTGCTACTAGGAGCTCCACGGTGGGGTTTCCAGAAAGGGGCCCATCAGCGCCGCTTTGCGCAGGCACTGCTCCGTTGCTGCTTGGTCCTGAGGCAGGAGGAGCTTTAACTCTCATGGCGCTTAGAGCTTCTGCCTGAAAGCCGGAGTCATAAGAGGAAGTGGCATGCGAATATACGAATCCAGCGTTTGCGAAGCCGTTGTAGACATGTTCACTTGGAAACATGGCACTGCTCAAAACAGTGCAAGGGCAGCCTGNTTTGCGAAGCCGTTGTAGACATGTTCACTTGGAAACATGGCACTGCTCAAAACAGTGCAAGGGCAGCCTGCATGCCCCTTCATATGCTTCAACTACACGTCAAGGTAGTGCACTGAGAAGACAGGGCCTGAAGGAACTTCAACGGTTGCTGACCTTCTCATCAGGGGTGAATACATCCGGTAGTTCCCTTAATTGAAGCATGGTGCAAACGTGTGCTGCGATATCGTCATGCGTAAGGTGCTCAGCCGGAACCAGCAGAAGCTGCGGCTTTTTTAGTACCCCGGCAGCCAAAATTGTGCTCTTAATGTCTTCTTGCCACTCACTGACAGCTACAGGATAAGACAGTCCGTGAGGCTCTACTACTGCAAAACCTGCTAGGAATGCTGCAAGGCGAGCGCACGACCGGCGTCCAGACCCGCCAACACCCAGAAGCAGCATGTGGCCTTGTGGTTGAAGGAATGTGTTCATGCATCTCAGTGCATGTTCAACAGCTTGAGGGAAGAGAACCAAAGACAGCGGCTTGTTGGGATGCAACAGAGTATATTGCTCAAGAGCAGCTGCGCACATCTGGTGTGCTTCTACAGGTGTCACGCGGTCGTATACTCGCGACCCCAATATACAATCTTCTGCAGCTGTTGAGGTCTGTCCTGTTCCGGCCGTGGCTGCAGCTTCAGGCTCTCGAAATGCGAAGAGCAGGGGCCCTTCCTTGGGCGGATCCAAGTCCGTTAGAGTGAAGCCTGCCGTTTCCCTTAAGAGATCACTGATGGATCCCGAGAGAATCTCCAAGTCAGGCGTATTGGCTGTCCTATCTTCAAAAACCCTACGCACCTCGTGGAGCCAGCACCGAAGCAGCTGGTGCTGTGATTGAAGGCCAACAGGATTCAGAAATCCCAGTCTTTGCACAACCCGCCAGCAGTCCCGTGGAGTCCACTGTTGCATCCATCGAGAAGGCCGAAGAGGCAGCCGCTGCTGAAGCTGTCTGTAGAGATTTGCAGTTAATGCGGAGACCTTTTTCAACCCTTCTACTACAGGATCCGCGCAGCTGTCAAAACGGATCAACAGCAACTGGTTCAGAATCGTCTGTATGGACTCCGTCGAATATGGAGCCCCTGTAAGTGGGAAAAAGTGCCTAGCCAGGCGCTCATTATGCTGCTGCTGTTGCTGTAGAATGCGGCGTGTGGCTGTTAGAGTCAACCCTTCAACAGGCTGGAACTTCCACGCTCCCCCTTTATTCCACCCGCCGCATTCCAGAAGCTGCCGTACAAGCTCGCCTACCGGCTGCGCCCCTGATTCTTCTGTTGGAGGCAAGTGGACGTCGTCGAGCAAAAGGACACAACGTCGGAAACCAACAGGCCGCAGACCCGCACTGTGGGACTTCTCCAATCTGCCTTCTAACCACTGCTGTACAGCATTAGGGGTTGCTGCGCCAGTAAGGGAAAGAGCGAGAAATGCAAAAGCATCTGGCTTGCCATTGGCTGTAACAGGCAAGCTCTCGGATCCAGCTGATAAGCCTTTCCGTGTCTGCTGTGCAGCGGACGCTTCCTGGTTCTTCAGTTGCTGAATCAATTTTTGTTGGCTCTCCGCGGCCATCCCCTGTAGCATTTGGATCATGCACTTGCTTTTTCCGCCCCCTGCTTCTCCAATTAAGAGGAAGGGAGCTTTTCCAGGAGCCGAAACAAGGTTTAAGAAGTAGTTGAGCAGAGCTGTTTCGGGTGTTTCTATGAGAACATGCTGCAAAGCGGCGGCCGTCATGGAAGTACCCTTTCGCACATCTGGAAGCATGGGAAGAGATGCCCACGGGTGCCATTTCTTCTGCTGAACGTCCCAAAATACGTCAAAGCAGCTTCCTGTTGGAGGGAGATGATGATTGAAACGTCGGGCTTGCTTCTGCCTCCGTGTTTGGTCCACGTCTTCAGTGCTGGAGTTGTGCCCGCCAGTCAGGAGGCCCATTTGTTCCAAAACATCGAAACGACCACTGTGTAGGTTTCGAAAGGCCACGTCAAAGGCAGGCCGCTCAGATGCGGGCAGCGCACCACCCGTGCCCCACAACAAGGCAAATACCAATGCTCCCTCCAGCGACTGTTCAAGCAGATCGGCCACCGAGCCTTCTCCTCGCTGCAGCGGAAGCAGCCATGGGAAGGTGATGAATAGAGCTCAAACGTAAGTCATGCAAATACACAGGGAAGTGTTTATGTATG